GACTGTTTCTTTAAGCCATGCTGTCCCCCATAATCTATTATTAAATACAGATACTATCAAGTTACCATAATTATAAAGCATTGAGGGGAACTAATGTCAATGCACATATTTAAAATGGTTAATATTTTGCTGCCAGTTAAAAGTGGTCAGAAGCTTTCAATTGTATTACCAAAAAGCACACACAACTTTTAACTCTTGATTGCTGAGTTATTAAATTAGTTCTGTTTAAATTATGATTTTGTTTACGAGAAAGATAGCTATTTAACTTGAGTAGAAAAAGATATCTAAATGGTAATCCTAGATTACATCATTTTAATGGCTAGAGGCTAATGTCCAGCAAGATTATAAACCAGTGCTCAGAAATAACTAACCAGTAATGTGATTACTGTGTTTCTACTTCTGAAGAAATATCAAGTCTTATAATTCAACATTCCATTTCTGATTAGGCATCACTCCTAGTGCAAAAGTTATCCTTCATCCACATCCAAAGCTTTCTGCTTTTTGCAGCTTTCCTGGCACCAAACAAGGGATCAGTTATGAGCCTCAATTCCCCTTTTCACTCCATTCCTCTCTCTTTTACCACTGCACAGCACACTTCATTGGGGGGTTGTCAGAAACATACTAAGGGTAGCATAAAATCCCTCCTTTACCTGTAAAGGGTTAAGATGCTCAAATAACCTGGTTGGCACCTGACCAAAAGGACCAATAAGGGGAGAAGATGCTTTCAAATCTGTGGGGGAAAGTTTTTGGTTTTGTTCTCTGTGTGTGTTCTCTCCGGGTCAGCAAGGAACCAGGGTAGGGAAAATACATCTCCTAAAGCTATACCTGAACTAATCATCTAAGATTACAAATTGTAAGTAATAGGAAGGAAATGTGTTAGATTATCTTGTTTTATCTTGTGAATTTTCCCTAGGCTAAGAGGGAGGTTTATTCCTGTTTTTTTGTTGTTTTTTTTTGTAACTTTAAAGTTTTGTCTAGAGGGGAATCCTCTGTGTTTTGAATCTGACTCCCTGTAAAATTACCTTCCATCCTGATTATACAGAGGTGCTTCTTTTACTTTTTCTTTATAATAAAGTTCTGCTTTTAAAAACCTGATTGGGTTTTAGTGTCCTAACAACCGAAGGGCTAGTCTGTGCCCACCTTGTTAACCTATTTGGTTGGTATATTATTCTCAAGCCTCCCCAGGAAAGGGGGTAAAGGAGCTTTGGGGGATATTTTGGGGAAACAGGAACTCCAAGTGGTCCTTTTCCTAAATCTTTGTCTAACTCGCTTGGCGTGGCAGCGATACCGTTTCAAGGACAAGGAAGAATTTGTGCCTTGGGGAAGTTTTTAACCTAAGCTGGTAGAGAGATAAGCTTAGGGGGTCTTTCATGCAGGTCCCCACATCTGTATCCTAGAGTTCGGAGTGGGGAAGGAACCCTGACAGGGGTCAACACGAACTAAACTGTGGGCCTTGTCTACTTACAAAAGTTGTACTGCTTTAATATACTAGTATAGTTAAAGTGGATATGGTTATAACAGTATAAATGCATCCATGCCTGGGGGCTGTAACAGTATAACTATACTGGTTAAAATATCCCCCACTCCCTCCTTAACCAACAGTTATACTTATAAAAGTGGTTCAGACCAGTCTTAGTCAGTTATGAATTTTAAGTTGTCAGAGTTCTTATGGTGCCCCTCTGGCCAACAGCATTTCCTTGCCTATTTTTGGCAATGTATAGGCCTCCCTGTACACACCAACTTTTCTCCACCGCCATCTCCCCACAGTGTATTTGCCTTTGGCTTTCCACTCACATAGACCTGAAGGTGAACTGAGCTAAGGACTAGTCTGGGTTTCATTGCAATGCAGAGCCCAACAGTTCCATTAAGATTAACAAGATGCATCGCAATGGAACCTGTAACAGATGTAAGTAATTTTAATACTGCTCACTATTTGTATATTTTTATTAAACAATTTTAAATGTATTTACATCATTAACAGGTTGGCATTTTAGCTAAATAATTGATCCCATATTCACTCTCTCCCTCTCTCTCTATATATACACACATACACATATACATACACACACATGTACATTATAATGACAAATACCAAACTGGAAATGGCAACCTACTAATTTAGGGGAGTTATAGCTGTAACATTTAGCCATCTCTTACACACAAAGCATAGTAGTGGTAGCATGTGAGGGAATAATGACAACCATAGGATTTTTGCCGCCCAAAGCAAAAACAATTTTGGCCGCCCCCCCCTTATTTAATTACCCCACCCCCGGCCCCGCCTCAACTCCGCCCCTTCCCCAAATCCCCAGCCCTGCCTCCTCCCCCCAGGCTCTCAAGCCTAGGACGGAGGGAGGGGGAGAAGCGGCGCCACGGCCGCTCGGGATCTCCCCCTCCCTCCCAGGTTTGAGAGCTGGGAGGGAGGGCAAATAGCGGCGTGCGAATCAGCTGTTTCGCGCGCTGTGGCAGCAGCAGCAGAGGTGAGCTAGGGCGGCCAGGGCACATTTTTAGGGGCAGCATTCTGGCGCCGGCCATGCCGCCCCTAAAAATGTGCCGCCCCAAGCACCAGCTTGTTTTGCTGGTGCCTAGAGCCGGCCCTGATGACAACATATTTCTTCCACCCATGATTAAGTGGATTAGCCTACAACTCGCACAGGCCTCATCTATACTAGGGGAAATGTTTTTACAATGTGGTAGCTAACACATTGTAAAATCCTCGTGCAGACAGGGCAATTTTGTAGTCTTACAACCAGCTAAATCAAAGTAAACATCTTTTACTTTGCATAAGACATACCCACAGACCTTGCCCACAACGGCATTGTCTATCCTGAAAAAATGAATAGCGTTATTGTCTACACACAAAAGTTGTATGGGTTTAACCAGACCAGCTCAGCTCCCTTATGTGCATGCAGTTATACTGGTATGGCTTATTCCTGTAAGGGAAGAAGAATAAGTTATACTGGTATGAAGCACTTTTATACTAGTATAACTGTTTCCACACTAGAGGTGTAACTATCAGAAAAAAAAATCTCACATCCCTAATGGAAACAGTTATACTAGTTAATCACCACTTAGCCCCAAGTCAGTCATGTTTAAAAATGTATTAGCTAGTCACACCATAGACCTTTCTCCCCTCTATAATAAAATCTGCACAGACAATACTTCCTAAAAGCAGTTTGATTGTCACAATAGTATAGAAAAGTGCATACTGCACTCTTTACATTATCAGCAATCCTCAAAAGACCATTATAGCCACAATACAGGAAGATGACTGTGCCTACAAGCAGTTCATCTACCTAAGGCTTCATGATTACAGAACAGGAGTTAATGTCAGGACAAGAAACTATTAGCAGACAGAAGCCCTTCTAATTTCCAAAGGAGAGAGTTTTGCTAAGTGAATCCTGCACTCTACCTGGCAGGAATGCCCCAGTTCAGCTTTAATCTGAAGTAAAGCCATTGGATTGAGCTGTTTTGAGGCCTTTGATTCATTTATTTCTAGGGTAACTCCTTGTTGAGAGTGGCCAGTGCATCACACTCCAGAAAGAGTGTGTGACAAACTAATTGTTCTAACGAGCAATTCTGGAAATAGCTTCCAATCTCAGCAGCACACCATGTAGCTCTAGTGTTTTGAGGCAACATTAAGGACTGGATTGGTTCTAATCCTCCTTTCTCCTCCAACCCTGGGTGAACTCTGCTATGTAAACATCACCCACTCAATCAGATTAGCAAAGCCCCCCAGCTCAGAAGGAAATATCTAATCATGATTTATATGAGAGGTTTGCTATGTGAGTACTGCAGAGAGGAAAGGATAGAGTCACGTCCAGGGATATTTCACCCTCTTTGTGTCCAATAACCTCCCCAGCAAAGAAATATATTTGCCCTCTCTATTCATGCATTGCAATATATTGGCAAAGGATAATTTGGATCCACAGTTTCCAAACTTGTGCATGATTTCCCCCCACATTCTTTATTTAAGTCACTGAAGAGCCCCACAGCACAGGTTTTGCCACCCAGCAGGAGGGAGGGCTGCATTTCTATGATTCTATAAGGGTAGTTAAGCTCCAAGGAAGGTTGTGGAATCCCCATCACTGGTGGTCTTTACAACAGGTTGGACAAACACCTGTCAAAGATGGTCTGGGTTTACTAGGTCCTACCTCTGCAGGAGGCTGGATTAAGTGACCTCTCCAGGTCCCTTCCGGCCCTACATTGCTCTGATTGACCCAGAGGGCTGTGAAATGCAATTTGGCCACTAACTGCATCTTTAGGGACGTTTGGCTTTTCCACAGTGGTTTTGCACGGAACTCTCTCCAGCAGGGTTCAGAAGGTATCATCTCAGTGGGATTTAAAGAGCTGGAAGGAGACCCCAGCACCTCTGGCGGGGGGGGGGGGGAGGCGGGAGATCACCTCCTCCAGCCACTGCCCACGGCTCCTCCCCTACCTCGGGTTTCCAGCGCTAGTAAACCCGACCCGCCAGTCCAGCCCCCTCCCCGTCGAAGTGCCAGATCAGCAGGGGATTCCTCCCTCGCCTCAGCCCCAAGGCAAGCCTCCCGCAGTCGGCGTCCCGCCAGACACGTCTCCAGCAATGCGCGTGTGTCTTGGGGGGCGGGGGCAGCCGCTGCCTGATGCGACGTCCATCCCGAGTTACACCAAGTTTCTTATTGGACTAGCGGCTATTCCCGAGCCCTCATTGCATCAGGCGCTGGCCGCCCCCTTGCAGCGCCGCTGCTGCCCCCCCACTCCCCGCAGGCCCATCGCGGGGCGCACACCCGTCTCCTACAGCGCTCGCACCCCAAGGGGGAGCAGGACCAGGCACCCCCCACCCGGGTTTAACACCCCACGGGGCGGGGCAGCTTCCCAAGCCGCAGGGCCCCGCGGGGCGCAACGCGGCCGGAGGGGTTCCTCTAGGCAGGCACTAACTGCCCCCGCTTGTCCAGGGCTCCCCAGCACAGCTCCCGAGCCAGGGGCCGGCTGGGCGCCGCTCACGTCCCGGGGCCGCGCTGTACCTAGATTTCCCATATCTGCCGGAGTCATCCTCGCTACAGCTGCCCCCGCCCAGCAGGGTCAGACCCGGTGCTCCGCCGTCGTCCTCCTCCTCCTCCTCCGCCGGGACCGCCACATGGATCCGTACCGGGCCGCTCCCCGGCTCCCCCGCGCCTGCCTCCCCGACCGGGCTCGGGGCGCCGCCGGGCCCATCCTCCAGAGGCTCCGGGTTCCGCTTGGCGCCGCCGGGCTGCTCCGGATCGGAGCCCTGGGGGCTCCCTGGCGGCAGTTCGGCCATGGGGCTCTGGTGCGAAGGGGGCGCCGGTGGCCGGTGCCAGGGCAGAGCCCGCCAGAGCCGGCGGAGCCTAGCGAGCAGCAACGCCCCCGGGCTGCCTGCAGCCGCCGCTGCCGCCTTCTTGTCCCGCCGCTGCCGCCGCGCCTCTGAGCCAGGCAGCACCGCGGCGGCGCCCCCAGCTCCAGACCCCTCCTGCTCTTGGGCGGCCGGCCCCCGCCTACCTTCGCGGGGAGCCGGGGGGCCGGGCCAGCGCTCCCCCTCCGCCGCTCCCCCGGGCAGCAGCAGGCAGAGGAGGCAGCGGAGCCAAGCGCTGAGCAGCGCGTACATGGCCGCCCCGGGGTGAGCCTAGTGTAGGGGAGGGGGCGGGCTGCCCGTCGGGGCTTTTATACGCGGGGCCGGGGCTCCGGGCTGAGCCGCACGCCCCGGGCGAGGCGATGGGGGGCACAAACTCTCCATCCCGGGTTACCGGGGGATAGGGTGACCAGATGTCCCAATTTTATAGGGACAGTCCCGATTTTGGGGTCTTTTTCTTATATAGGCTCCTATTACTCCCCACCCCCGTCCCGATTTTTCACAGTTGCTGTCTGGTCACCCTACCGGGGGAGTCTGCGAGTGGGGCCGGGGCCACTCTCACTCCACCCAAGGAAGGCTGGGGGAGGGGGTGTCTCTGGACGTGGGATCCGGGCAGGACCACCCTCGGGGCAGAATCTCCCTCCTGTGGGCCCCTGTTTCAGGAAGGCGTAGAGTAGACCTCTCCCCATGTTGGAGAAGGACTCTGCTGGGTGAGTTTCCATGAGACCGGGCTCACTCCTCATTTGTCGGGGCAGGAAAAGGGGTTTTGCACTCTTCTAAAGCAGAGTCACCGGTTTGCCAGCCTTCTCCTAGTCACAACCTCTGTAATACTCCTATCTATGCAGGAGGAGGCCTGGGAAATCCCTTCATACAAGCTAGTTGGGTGACCAAACCTCTGGATATTATCAGGACCCTCCTGATATTAGGGGCTTTGTTTTATATACACAACTATAATCCCCTGCCCCTGGAAAAAAAAGTCCTGATTTTTTGCATTTGCTAGCTGGCCACTCTACAAGCTAACAACATTCATTGGCTTCCAGGCCTGGGAGTATGTGATATCCCGAAGTCAGTTTAGGGCTGAGAAGGGTAGATGGAGGGATGGCAGGCTACTCAAACTCAGTCACTGGATGTTTCTGCCAAAATTACTATCAGCCAAATAATGTTATTTTATCTGTTGCCATTAGGTTTCAGAGTTAACATTTCAATGAGATGACTGGCATCCATTCACACCTCTTTCCCAGGTGTTATTTTCAGCTATCTGAAGAAAGTGCTGTATCAGGTCAAAATAGATTATCTTGGCAACCATAAGAGGTAGGGATTATTTTTTTTAATTTAATTTCATTAGAAAGTGATTGGTCATCAGGGAAGTGCAGCTATAAGGGTTCACTATATTCCAGTTGGACTTCTGATGATCTTCTATCTATTCCTTGATTTGCATTCTTATGTGCTAAATATATTACAACATGCTATTTATCTTAGTGAACAACTTTGAGACCTTAATGTGATTTTTGCATCTAATAACGTCATAAAGAAATCACTGCATGCAATGCATAGCTTCCAAAGTATAATGTGAATGTTATACAAAGAAGTTTATGGTAACTATGAGCAGCTTAAAGGAACTAATGTGGCATTGCCTTTTCCTTGTATTTCAATATATTGAAAATATCTGTTTTAAATTGTTTACATTCCGTCTCATCTTCTGGAAAATTAAAATGGTTTATTCAATAGCTGCTTAGGTTGTAAATGTTTGAGAAATGGCCTGAAGATAACAAACACGAATAAACAGAAATGATTGCATACATTTTATTGTTTTATAATGTAGGGTCATAGATATGCTTGGTGCTTTACAGAGAGACTGTAGACATGGTCCCTGCTCTGAACAGCTTAATTTTAACATGGGAGTTTCTCCATTGACTATGTCTTGCCCATCTGTAAAAGGTATTTCCCTATCTCCCAGTGATGGTCTGAGGGAAAATACACTAAAGAATGAGATGCACTCTAATACTGCAAGTATCAGAGGGGTAGCCGTGTTAGTCTGAATCTGTAAAAAGCAACAGAGGGTCCTGTGGCACCTTTGAGACTAACAGAAGTACTGGGAGCATAAGCTTTCGTGGGTAAG